TGAGAGTGATATGAAACGTCGAGATGTTTTTTAGACGATGTCTGTATGTATGTGTGTATGTGTGTGTTTGTCCAGAAGTGTGTTAATAAATCAGGAAAAGTAATTACAAAGAAGCTGAAATTTTGGCTCACAGTTGGTACTAATGAAACACAAATCTGTGCTAAATTTCACCCCGATCGGTCGAGTAGTTCCTGAGATATAGCGATTTCTCAAAAATCGTTTTTTGCTAATATCTCTGAAATGACTGGACCAATTTCATTTTTTTCAAAATATTCGTCACGATGATACCTATCTCGAGGCATGGCAATTTAATCACCACGCTATGAAAAATTGAGTTTCATTGTGATTTTTTCATTTTTTCGACAAAATTTCTTGTTACCACGATAACTTGAAAATAATCGAGATAGAAATCTCATATTGCGTACGATTTTAGGTTTTATGACAACAATGTTTGGTATTGTGAATGGACGAAATCGGACGAGTATTTCCGGAGCTATTCACCTTTATATGTGAAACTCTTTCCTTCAATATCTCAAAAAGCGGTCAGCCGAATTCAATTTTTTTTTCCAAATATTCGTTATAATAGTGGCTATCTAACCAAATCAAAATATGAGTAGCGTTTCATTGAAAGTTTCTGAGATATTGCCATTTTTATTCTGTTTTTATTTGCTCAGCTTGCTCATATGTGCTATAATGTGTTTGAAACTTTATATGACGAGCTAAAATTTTGATAACGATCAATACTATTTAGCTACACAACTAGAGAAAATTTGAGTAGTTTAGTAGTTCTTGAGATGGAACATTTTATGAAAAGCGTGTATTGCCGTAATTATCGTGTTTTTCTTTAATCATCGGATTTTTTATCATAATTACTTGGAATATCATGTCACATAAAGATCTTATGTTTTTTTGAAGTTTATAACTCCATGTATGTATTTATTCACTTCAACATTTTAGAGATCTCCATGTTTGCATAATTGTTTGTCAAACTGGTCCATATAGATGCGACTGGTTTCATCAAATATAGGAACAAATATCTATGATAGTAACATATTTATTCGTCATTCAAGGATTTCATGACAGCCTTCGTTTTACCTAAAACTGATTTTTCATGATTTTTCTTATTGATTTACGTATTATCGGATTTGAAATGAATACACAAATGGGAACATACGGTTTCTGTAGAATTCATTGGAATAATTTTTGGAGGTTTGAAATCGTCTATTTTACTCCATTTATCATCTCTGAGAATACATGCATTGTAATGGCCTATCGCATGAGGGTTGATAATCTCCAGTTTATGGAAGTGACGATGCTGATAGACGATATGATGCATGGTGTACATTCAAAACTTTGGGAAAAGCATTTAATGATATTTATTTAATGATACTGTCAATCTCCGGATTTATAAAATTGACGATTTCACAAATCCGGAATTTATCTGTGTGTGGGAAATGTACACTTTGCACCCGCCGGGACGAAAAAGATATTGTTTTTGAAAGAGCAGGCAGCTTTTTTTGGTGACATTGTTGATATCTGCTCTAAGCGGGATTGGTGTTTCCATTTTTTAAATAGAATTGGTACAGGTCCGTTCGGAAGCTTACTACCAATGGAATTGGTAGAAATGAAAAAAAGAAAAAGAGTTATTACACACAAAGAAATGGCTTCTACCAAAAAGGCTCGAACCCCTGAAATGTCTGGATCCTTCACCTTACTACTTGTTGAAAATTCAGCTGGTCCAGCGGTTGTTGATTTATGCATTGTAATGGCCGAATATTTCCAATCTTAACGTATATTCATATTTTTCAAAAAGTTGGAAAAATTATGCGAATAGTGTAATGAGTACTACAGTTATTATTTAAATAAATCTATTGTTCCAATATGCCGTTCCTCGTCACATTTCCATAATATGTCCATAACAATACATCGTATGAAATATTCACATCCTCAGAAAATCTTTCTACGTCAGCACAGTCAATTATTACTTTTTCTCATATCGGCATGCGTACCACTGAATCCATTATTCAATGACTAAATCCAATTTTTTATACAAAACGATAAAACATTAAATCCCAATTAATTTGAAATTTTTTCTAGTTTCCATATATGTAAAAGAAGATCATTGGGGCTGGCCAATATATGTATTCCACTTCATTGGGGACGCTATAAATCGCTGTGATGTCTGGTGGGTATCGCCTGCACAAAGAAAAATGGCTGTCCGATGGTTTATCGTTGGTACTTCAATCAATTAATTTCCAAATCCGCAAGTTTTTCTAAAATATGACAACATCGGAACTTCGAGTACAACAATAAAAAACAATACTGAAATGAATGAGTCGAAGAGGAACTACTACTGTCAGCTACAATGTGAGGGTTTGAACAAGTTTGAACGGGTAAACCACCGGTCGTCCATGTTATGAGGGCGATCACCACGCCACCATCGGTAAATAGCGGTCCCAATAAGTCATTCTTTTTCTGATAATGGCCATTTAAATAATTGTTTTCATCATATATCATATTTAATTAATGACTTAGTCAACATAATGCATTCTACAACTGCCAAGATTTCATTTCTAGAAATATTCTTTCTAATTTGTCATTAGTTTTTTTACATTCTTCGTCGTTTTAATTTTCGTGGAGCAATCTTGCAAGAGTATTTCGTGTTCGATTCACTAAAACTGATTCCATCTCCGGTGAACATGTTTGCACCATCCTCATCTCATTTTACAAGTCAATGGAGAAAAATCTTAATTTCAAATTGTTTACTATTTTATAATAAATAAAGGCATCATTTAAGTTACGTTCCCACATTTTTCTATGTACAAACACTTGATTTCACAACATAAAATACTTAGGCCCTTCAAAAGAAAGAACAAAAATTAAAAATCAGAACAATAAGAAAAAAGAAGTTAACGTATCTTCAGAGCACATAAGGACTTGATGAATATCTTTTAATTTGGAGGAGATAACGATAGTTTTTCCTCCCGGAAAACTGTTTTGGTAGATTTTACTTTTCAAAGAAGGATTTAATGGAATTTTTTCAACACTTTCGGATTAGATGATATACGGAGAAAATATACCAGAAAATTGCTTTACTGAGTTGCAGCAGGATAGGTTCATTTTACCGGACTCGCAAAATTTCTAGTGCTAGCACCGAAAATTTTAATGCGCTATACAGTGATTTTTCGTGCTAAAGAAGAAAAAAATTTCTCGAATTTTTTGTACTAATGAAATGAATCCATTTGATTATGTCAGAACAGTAATTTTCTTGGTATTTTTTGTCTCCGTGTTTATAAAAAAATTAGATCATAAATCCAGAAAGTAAAGAATTTTTTTGTATTTAAAAACTCATTTATTCTGAAATTCAAACTGACCCATCGCGATGTATATTAATTACCAAAATTTTTCGAATTACCCGGGGGGCTCTGCACTTTATTTTTTTTGTTATTATTTGTACAACTATGCACAAGGCCGCAACACTTTTATCCTTCAATCTATCTCTGTATAAAGTCCTAATTAATGGCGGCGAGTTCAAACGCATGAAATTGAACGAAAACTCTCCAGAAGGACTACGCCAGAAGGACTACGTAGTCGCTAAGTACACAGTCTTAACTAAGAAGACTAGCAATAGCGATGAAATAATTTTGAATATAAAACTGCGTCCATTAAATAAAAATTAGTTGAATTTTCCTTTGCCGTTTTTTTTTTGTAAAATTGATAATACATTTGTGCTGATTGATCAAAAACCAAGCAGAAAGCGCCATCATTAAATTCCACTTAACTTACGAGCTTACACTGTATTTACATTTCTTCTTCCTGCCGAACCCTGACATTTTGACAAAGGTAATTCTCTATTATATAGTTCATCAATTCTCTTCACTTCTGACTAGTCTTCGAAATTTTGCACCTACAGTAGAAGTTACTATAACTAATATGAATTTGCTCAACGAACCTTTTATAAGTTCTATTGAATTGGATCAATCGAGAAATGCGAGAACATCGCCACTATCTAATTCCGTCTTTGAGTATAAATTATGAGAGAAATTTTGTAATTCATTGCAGGTATTTGACTTATGAGAGCATATAATTTTGATAAGTTCTACTGTACGTATTATGCAGCCTCGTATTGATGACCATAAAAATAAAAATATCAACTGTACCTAATGAGCGTTTTTATGCACCTAATTTGCGTATTTACACATTTATATTCTACACCACAGGAGTTCTGTTAATTGCTTTTGTTGTTTGTCTTTCGAACAGAATTCAAAAGAAGATATTTCCGTTATATGTACCATGTGAACGGATAACTGCCTAAACAGCGTGTGAACTAATGAAGATCGAGTCAACTCGGGTATCAACTACACAACAGTTCGATAGAAATAAATGGAACGGAACCGTCCATATGATTCTAAAGTTTTTTTGTGCGAATTTTCCAACTGAAAGGTCCGTTTTGTGAATTCGTAAAACAATAACCGAAAATAGTCTCAGTTCATGTACTATTCAAACGCTGAACAAGGAGTCTTTTTGTTCTCACTTCAATACTAGACTGCAGTAGCAACAGAAATTTCGACAAAGGTATCATCTCCTCGTTCTCCGAACGGAATGAATTAAATATATGTCAGGAGACCTTTCTTGATGAATTGTCCGGACCCTGAGCCTTTCGAGATTTTTTTCGAATTCAACTGCAAATATTCTTCGGACATATAGTTTCATACCATAACCCTTCTCGATTGAATTGATTTCCACATCAGTTACCACTATTCAGTGGAAAAAACAAAAAAGATTGAAAAGCAAATTTATTATCTTGTGCTTTTTGTCATGCTAACATATTTGAATTAGAATTCCTGGATTAACAAAAAGAAATTGTAGATTAATTGCATTTTTATCGAACTGTAGAAACTCCCATAATGAAATATCATCTAATAAAGGCGATTCCTTGCAAATCCCCCCCCCCCCCCCCCCCCCCCCCCCCCCCCCCCCCCCCCCCCCCCCCCCCCCCCCCCCCCCCCNAACAAAATAGAACTCAACACCCCAAATGTCGACTGTGTGGTAGACTCCTTGGTTACTGATGTAGAAACTGCGCTCGTAACCTGTCCTAAATCAGGTCTCATACTCCCTCCCCCTCTTCGCCTCCCGGCTTGGGCCCTCCCTCCAACTACCGGCTTGTTGGTGGTCACTTCCCATTTATCCTCATCTATCTCATTGAAACTCAAATCTCCACAGAGCAACGACGATGCAGAACCTAATTTCTCCGAGGAGATGGACCCCTTGAGAAACGTCAGTTGTGCCATGGGGCTGTCCACAGATCTCCTAGTACAAAGAGCCCCCTGAAGCGCCAGAGGCAACACAGAGGACCCCCCAGCAGTGGCCATTATAGTATCAATTCCCATTCTTTCTAACTTCTCCACCAATCGAATTCCAGTCAACGCTTTCTTCTCAGACCTCGAAAGTGTCGTTTTACGTTTTCTTTTACTCTGCGATAATTGCGTAGGTTCACTCCCGAATGTTCTTTTAATCAGTTCAGCACCAGTTGAAAACAGTCCGAAGCCCACTGGACTATTATCAGGGGTAGAAGGTCTAGATGGGGGTGGAGTACCATCAGGACTATTGCAAGGTGTTGCCGTAGGGGTGAAGTTACGTTCACTACAAGGGGTTGCCATACAAGAAGCTGTGGCTGCCTTGATCCCGCGTTCATTCAACATTTTGGCAAGACCGAGAGTTGTAGAGAACGTTGACGTTGAATTACGTCGTGATAGAGTTCTTGGCGTATTCATACCTATGAAAGATCAGAACTGATTTAACGACCAAAAACTGAATAATGAATACAATTAACAATGGATTTGAAACCGACTAGTCACGGTAAAAAAATATATTCAGGTAATGCCAGGGTGATTCGTCAGAGAATATTATTCATTGAAGAACAAAAATTTACGGGTGGCTATATCTTTGATGTTGCCATCATTTTACGCATAGATATTTATGGGTTTCCCTTCCTTCACTGGACATCACAGTTTTTCATTGTATATATTTATATAGAGAGATTCGAACAATTAGGGATTTCGCAATGTCTCGTCATGATAAGCACTTTTTTCGTCACACTGTCCGTCAAACGCCATTAACGGACATATAGTATATTTCTGTATACGGAGATAGTGAAGAAATCGTATATTTCGATACGAGTGAGACGGAATTTTTTAACTGTGATGTTACGTTCAGCAAGTGGCCGAAATGTACCGTTTTCGTTTAGTTTTAAAAGTGTAAAAGGCACTTTTCGACACGAGGTGAACGTAGCAGCAGTGCCAAAAAATTATGCCCGAGCCTTGGAAAAAAGATCATTATATGCCCGAGTCTTGGAAAACAGATCACCGCCCCCCACGTGCAAGATTGCCTTCCGAGCCGAAGGCGAGGATGGCAAGCACATGGGAGAGGGTGATATGTTTTCCATGGCGAGGTGTGTATATTAATTTTCAGGTCCCGTGACACGAAAACAATTTTTCTGAATTTTTAAGTTTTTTCGGCCTTGTGACAGAAATATATATTTTTTATCAGATTCTGCGGAAAATCATTACTTCGCGGATCGTGTTTTGTTCATGAAATAGTGTTTCACAGCGTGGTAACGCCCTCTGACCAATGAGAACGTGGCATTTCATTCAGCTATTCGCAAAATATTCGGCTACCGTCATAGACATATAATACGTAGTCTGCGGCAAAGAATACAGACGCCCATAAAAATCCGCAAAGGGGATTTCTAGTCTATACTCTTTGCAAACACCCTTGCGAATTTTAAGACGGATCACAAATTTTATTTATTTCGTGCAATAATAACCAACCGCTGGTGCATTACTGATCGGTGATAAAGATCCCTTAAAATTATCATTTATTTCTTTAAATAAACTGGAAAATTTGTTCGAATTTTCAAGAAAAATTAAAAAAATTAAAGAAAAATCTATCATTTTCTAGGAAAATCTGGAATTTCTGAGACAAATCTAAAATGTTCTAGGATTCTCAAAGACCGCACAGATTTTTCTCGCTAAAGCCCCCCCCCCCTCCCGCCCCACATGAATACATAGACGTATCCACGTCAAAAATGAATAAAAAATGAAAAATCTTGGATTAAGGTTGCGAATAGAGTAATTTGAAAAGAGAAAATTCAAAACTGAGTACCTAAATTCAAGTTGATGTAGGAAAATTAATGAAGGCAAAGGAACATGAACGATACTTCGTCAATTGCAAGTGGCCGGGAGGAGTTACGGGAGACCAAAATAGGGGAAATACCGAAATTTTGTAATTCTACTTTCTGATTCACTCTCTCGTCCCTATCCGCAGCCACTTATAATCATTGAGATGTGTTCCAATTTCCCTTTGCTTCCTTCGTTTTTCCATACTCCTTTCAATTTTCGTTCTTAGTTCTTCGTTGTATGTTTAATGAGTACACATAAAGTATCATCGAAGATTAAACCGTTCGACCAATTAATTCAGTTCAATCGGCTAATTGTATGTAACGATAATTGTACAACCACTACATACCTGAATTTATGGCACTGCTGGGAGCTGTGGCGCCCCTTGAACCGATAACGCTCGAAGTGATATGGGTGGGGTCCTCTGGGTGAAGGACTGTGCTGTTTGTGAAGGTGTAAACTGAGCCTGTATCTTGGAAAAGTTTCCCAGGGTTCAAGTACTCTTCGTCTTCCTCTAAGTCTGCTAATGTGAAGGTTTCGAGCCCTAAATCCTCCAGAGCTCGTCCTCCTCGAATTTTTACACCAGGTCGTTCCTCGAGAAGACCTCCTAGAGTAGGAGTTGCTAGTTGAGACCAATGGTGGAGAGTCTGAGAGCCTTCCATGGGTTTTACTATCTGGAGTTTTTCAGGTAGACGCCAACCCGCGGAGTTGTTACTGAAGCCGGAGAGATTTCCACTCGACCCTGTCGACATTATACTGTCAGGAGTGCGACAGCCAAAAGGGAGGAAGGTTGGTGGTGAATGAATTATCCCTCCATCGTAGTCGAAGTTGTAGCCTGTGCCCGTGCTCAAACATGCCCGGCGGGCAATTACTTCTGCAGGGGTCAGACGACGAAGGGCTGCCTCGAGGTCTGCAGCTCCTAGAGATGAATAAAATTTAATTAGTTCAGTAGATAGAAGTAAACGGATGAGGGTGGGGGACTGATAATACTTCGATTGTCTTCAAGATCTTCAGAATATTGATTCTACGTTGGCAAATATTGACATTCTCCAATGTGGCCGATATGAAATCGAAACGCAAGGGACAAAGGAATGGAGTCATAAAAAAGGTAGATTCTCCCCATTTTTTTTAGTGGGGAACGTGACATACTCGTTTTTTTTGCATGGAAGCTTGAGGGGAAGATCCGATGAATTTTGAAGGTCAAGGGGTATTTGGAGGACAATTTTCGCAATTCTAATTTTAGTCGACCAGACTGTGGTGTTCGGGATTACGTGACACTTTTCACCAAAACGCAGAGAATATCTGTCAAAAGAAGAGAAAACAATTGATATGCTACTGTGGAATTATCAGTTTGATAATTCACCCGTAGACCGGTAAATTATCAGTAGTAATACCACGAGACCTGCAAAATTATCGGATATTACCCGATTGTTTTGTTGCGTAGCAACGAGAGGGAGAAGTTTTGCAGATTAAAATCCTGAGCGCGCAGCGCGAGTTCATAGAGATCTGAAATTTTGCAGATTAAAATCCCGCTCGGGATTTTAATCTGCAAAATTGATCTCTCTCGTTGCTATGCAATAAAAGATTCGGGACATATTCGATAATTTTGAAGGTCTTGGGGTATTATAGCTGATTATTTTTGGTAATCGGATTTACCCTTCGCTGAGCCAATCAGAGTTCAGTATTTAATAACATGAAGTACTTCCCAATTAAAATTACAGCAGTTATTTCCCCCTAGCTTTTGATAATTTCCCTGTAGCTTTTGATAATTTCCCTCTAGCTCTGCAATTGTTTCTCTAACCAAATAACTGTCAAATATTATCCTGTGGAGTGAAAGAAAGTCATGAAGGAAGTCAAAATGACTCAGTTTGGGAAGAATCCGATTACCAAAAATAATCCGGCGAATACCACTCGACCTCCAAAATTAATCGAACATTTCCCTTATGTTTTCCTGCATATCAATGATCGGGATAAGTTTTGCACAAAAATCCCTCGCGCTGTGCGCTCGTGATTTTAATCTGCAAAACTTCTCCCTCTCGTTGCTACGCAACAAAACAATCGGGAAATTTCCGATAATTTTGGAGGTCTCGTGGTATTATTACTGATAGTTCACCAGGCTACGAATATGTCTTCATATCGTTCATCTCGTATCTGTAAATGAACGATAATTCCACAGTTTCCTGTCAATTGTTGTCTCTGATGTTGACATCTCAATTTGTGGAACAAGCTTGTATAAGGTTATGTTGATTGAATTAAATATGAAGAGTTATTAAAAATGAGTCAATTTGGTCAGAATTCGTTACGAGAAATCGATAACAACGTTAAACAATTGTTTTATACTTTTGTGAGATGTTCGTGTAAGGTGCCGCGTCACCTGGACCACTATACTCTGATTGGTCGAACCAAGAAATAAGGAAATTCTCTTCTGAATATTCCACGACCTTCAAAATTCATCGGATATTTCCCTCAAGTTTCCTTACGTATCATCGATCCGGATGAGTTTTACAGAAAAATCACTCACGCTTGACGTTCGTGATTTTTATCCTACAAAACTTTTCCCTCTCGATGCTATGCAACGAAGCTGTCGGGAAATATCCGATAATTTTGAAGATCTCGGGGTATTAAAACAGAGCATTTTTTGAAATTTATTCTCGTACTGAGAGAGAGCACTGAGAGGTTTAATACGCAATGATTTGACACGAAAGTTAATATTTACCTGGAGCTCCTGGCACTCCAGTGGGATGTGGACCGGGATACTCTTCAGGGTCAACAATCAAGGATCCCTCATTATCGCTCTGTCCAGCAGAGTCTAGATACCCTCGAATGGGTCCACAGCTCATTCTAGGTCCACTGGATCCCGTGGACACCGTTGAAGTTATCAGCGACCCAATCCTCGGAAACTGGTTACTCTCCTGGGTACTTGAGATCCTGGTTACACTCCTAACAGTCTCAAATACCTTCCTATACGTTGGAACTCTATCCGTCATAATCCCAGAATCTAAACTCAATTCAGAATAAAGAGATGACTCAAGTTCTGATGCTATCGAGTCCGGTTGGGGTGCAGCGCCCATAGATGGGAACAAGGAGCCGCCTCTAACCGTTGGAAGTCCCCTCTTTCGTTGCTTTCGAAGCTCATCTTGTGCCACCTCCAATAAATGCGATATTTCCGCATATTTTTCTTTGAAATCAGCCAACTCAGCTGCTAAAGCGTTTTGATTCTCTCGCGTTATCAACAAAGTTTCCCCTATTTCATCGTGTTCTGTTAGTAACTTAGCTAAACGTAATTCTGTCTCTGATAATTTTGCAGAGAGACTAATTATCTGCTCGTGTTGTAAACGATTCTCCTCCTTTTGACGACCCAGTTCCTCTGCAATGCCATCCACCTCCATGTTAGCATTTGCTAACTGATTCGTAATGTCCTTCACTAATCTGGCCTCTTGTGCCTCGCAATCATCTGCATCTTTCACCAAACGCGTAAATTCGGTTTTTAATTGTTTGTTCTCATCTTCCAGGGAGAAGATTCGACGCTGCATGAGGTCCAGGTTGATACCTCGGAGACCTGTAGGAGTCCCTCCCTCCGAGCCCGACTCATCCACATCATTGGTGAGAATCTGGATTAACTCAGTCTTCTTCAACAGCTCGTGGCTCAACTGAGTTATTTTTTCGTTCGCCGATTTCAGCTCAGATTCCAGAACATTTACTGTTGATTCGAGCTTTTGGTTGTGGGTTAAAAGCTCTTTGCCAATTCGAGCGGTTAATTCTAAGTCTTTTTCTTTCTGAAAAAAAATTGATGGATTAGAGTGATTTCTCGCTACTCATCATGACTGCTGGCGAATAATGCACAATTTCAAATTGACATATCGCATTGTTGAATTACTTCGTTAATCGGCGATGATTATGAGACTGTTGTCACGGATAATTATGACTTGAATTATTTCATTGCTGATAATTATTAGTGAAAGGAACCCAATTTATAATGAATAAAAAGTAATATTAAGTGCAAGAAAACCGAACGAACTTGTTCGTTTGGGAATTTGGGATGCGACAAAAATTCCAATTCCACACATGTTACACTTTAAACATTGTACAATTGAAACATGTGAATACATAATTCATCTCTTGGACTTTTACATATATAATATCAGTATGTCTAATTAAAAATCAGCAAAATCCACCAATATATACGTCATATATAGTAATTATAATCATCGATATAATTTACAAATGAAATTTAAGAAACCGTAACTGAAATCTATAGACGTGAAAACACTTTTCTAAATTATCATGCGTTGAATGATTACAGATTCCGTCAATTCCTCCATTGCGTATTCAACGTGATAAAACACAAGTTATCCACTCAATCTCGCATTGATATTGTGAAAAATTTGATGATTGAGTAAGCATTCCTATTTTTCATTATAATATGTACCCTTGCCATATATACCCTCTTCGAGTTTTTATATATTTGTAAAAGCTCAAAGATTCAACACATAATTTTTGTTCGTATCAGGTGTACGTCATTAATGTTGTTTTTTGTTCCAGGACTGACTGGTGAAGGGAAATACAGAATTACATCAATTTTTTCTATGAAAACAACCCCGCCAAAATACTGATACAGAGATAAATGAAAATACTGTGTATAAAAACAAGCAGGGGGCACCGATCATATGACAGTGAGCATGTTACTGAATGATGTTTTAATGTGCATCAATATATTGATGCACATTGATATTTGATGGCGGGCTTCCGAATGGTTTTTTTCTCGGCGTGCTTACTGCAGCAGTAAGCAGCTCATCTTTCTTGACAGCGACTTTATTTTCTGATGTGTTTTCTAAGTTTTCGTCAGTCGGTAAAACAAGTGACAACTGACAATGGTGTTGTTGTCTTACTGCGCAGCCTGCTTACTGCCGCAGTAAGAACGCCAAGAAAAGCGCTATGAGATCCATTTACATACAAAGTTGAATATCTTCGAAGCTACCTATTCAGCCCATCTTCAATACGAAGCGTTACAGTGATAAGAGGAAACTTCGTGAGTAAAGAACAGAGAAATCAAAATATCTCGAAAACTTTATATGGACAGGTCTAAATGTTTTGATTCATCAAGATAGACGACATCAAGACGAATATTCTGAAGAAAAAAAGAAATTGATAGAGTAGTTTTTGACATTGTGATGAGGGTCACTTATAAAATAGAATAATAATAAAAGATTACTGTTAAATTAATCAAATAGGTAATTGAATAGTTAGGGAGCATATTATATCTCCGTCTTTCACCCTAATGGCCCGGAATTGTAAAAATAGTATGAGACAATGTGCATAATCTCGGAGTCTAAGAACATCCTCAACACTGAAGAGCACAAGCTATCTCATATCCATCCACCTCGCTGAGAGACAACAAGAAGAGTTTACAAAGCTTTTCTAAACATTATCAAGGATATTTTCGTGGAGAAGAACCCGGAGACTCACGGGAATATCCGAGAAGAAACAGACGGTGTCAGGAGATGCATTCAGTGACTAAACCATTGGTGCCTGACTGAATGAGTGTGGTTATTCAGGACTCAGGCAGTGGATCCATGAAGGTATGAATAAGTGTCCTCAACTCAACCTGAGGAACGTGAATGAGGAAATATTAGTCGAAGGAACGAGTACGAGTGATTGGAAAAACGTTGGAGAAAACTCACGTTGACCATTGTTGTGACAGGTGGGGTTATGTCGCCCAGAATGATAAACCGGAAAATTTTCACACAACAGAATACCTGGATGTTTACTGGTGATCAATGGATTGTCAGCGCAGGTCCAGAACTTTTCCATGGCGAATCTGAATGGAAATACGAGGAAACGGGAGAATGCTTGTCAACAGTGATGATGTGTGTTTTCATCAATAGTGAGGTCGATAAAAGGGGTATCGACCTCGTCACTATAGTTCACTCAACTTTACCCTTGGCCGTGAAGGCGCGACACTCGACCCTGATTTCTTGTGAATAGAACTACTAATTGTGAATACATCTCATTGGCCAAAACAAAGGAAACAAGAGCCGGATTGGTGGAATGGGGATGAGAGTGAAGATTGACCCCCCGGATGAGGGAGAAGAGCCCGATTTTGCATGACTCTGCGTGATGACATCAAAGACTGACAAACCCCTCGTAAATAGTAATTAGTAAATAGCTAAGACATTAGTTAGCAATCTCATGAGTGTATCTCAGACCTCAGGAACATCTTGAGGAGTGAGGGAAACGAGGGAAAGTCAAGGAATGTCAAGGAAATGCGAAAAATACAAGTAATCGAGAGAAATAAACCTCTTTCACTCACGTGAGTAAACATAACAGAAATTACGTGTGGTAGAGGGCAAATTGTAATTGTGGAGATCGTGTCAAAATCGAACGGTCCTCGCGGAATAACTAGTGAGAAAAGTAGAGTAGAGCTGGAAATTATTTTTACTGCATAAAAATTAATAATTATATAGCCGAGTTAGTTGGGAAATCATAGGAAAGCTCGGAGCGTCACTGGCTTCTCTAGTGTCGCCATTTTGGCCATTGTGGGAAATTGGAGAAAATCGAAATTAATTAAATTTCATCTTTGAATATCAGAGCAATTGACGACGAATCGACTCTGAGAATTATCCCGAAAATTAAGTAAAGTCTATGGAATATTATAACAAGAATATTTTTGGAATTTAAAGTTATTTTGAATTATATTTTTGCTAATTAGAAAATCGGGAAAATTGGCGTCGTAATTTGGAGTGGAAGCGTGGTGTTTTGAGGGACGCCTCAAATACACAACCAGTTGTACTTTATTTATTGAATATTTTTCATTAATATTTCTTTTGTGATTAGTTTTGATTTAATTTCACACTAACTATATTGTGTTAAAAGACCCGAACAACAATTTAATATATTGAATAAGTATTATTTTCTTTTATTATTGGAAATATCTCTTTTGATTTATCTGGCCCCAAACCAAGATAAAATAGCCCGAACAAATATAATTTAGCCCGAACAGTACAAATAATACTATTTCATGCCAAAAAGGCATCTATTGTGGAAAATCCACCTTGTACGTGATTTAAATCTACAAGAGCATTGAAACTAGATTATTTTGGAAAAATAATTTGAAATTTTAGAGAAAGAATTAATTTAATCTGGTTTCAACGTCACAACATATTCAAGAAAATCACTTTGGATACAAAGTTTAATATCTCCTAAACTAACCAGCCGATTCAGCCCATCATCAATACGAAACATTTTAGTAGGAAGAGGAAACTTGATGCCAAATTTTAAGTTGTTATGTTGATTTTTCCGAAAATGAGAGTGCTAACAAGGATGCTGAACGAAAAATCGCAATATCTCGAAAACTTTGTACGGACGGGTATGCATATTTTGACTGATTGAGGTAGGAAGCATCGAGACGAATATTTTGAAAGAAAAAAATTGATATCGGATGGATAGTTTACAAGATATTTGGAAAAAACGATTTAGAAGCAAATGACGATTTCTCCAAAACGACAGAATCGATTGAGCTGAAATTTGGCACAGAGTTAGTCCTCATTAATACCTATAATCTGGCAAAATTTGACATTTTTTAAAAATCATTTTAGTCTTTTAATCCTTCAATTTTCTAAAACTTGACCACCAGGTGGACATCCGCACATACACACATGGTCCTCAAACTTCGTATTTGTACGTTTCAAATCATTCTACATGATTTCTAAGCAGAATTACAGAATCGAAAAATCGAACGATTGCAATGCTTCCTTTCGGAAGCAAAAATTGAAATCAGTTGAGGAGTTTTTGAGATATTCAACACCCGAAAAAAGTCGGTCTGACCGAAAAATGGGTCTGAATCAAGTCGATTTTTCGATTTGATTCAGACCGAATTTTCGGGTTGATTCAAGCCAATTTTTCGGTTTGATGCAAACCGATTTTTCTCCAAATTTGGGGGTGTACATCAAGAACTTAATACTCCCCCCGCCCCCTGTAGTCGACGTAGCTCGTCGGTGAGTTTTTCATATACAGGGTGTCCCATTTGAAAAAATGCGGCCAAATATCTCCTAAGGCGGGCAAGTAACAAAAAAATGTTCGATACAAAAATTGTAGGGTTTCGAGGGGGACATTCGACGCATTCATTATTTTGAGCTTTCAAGCTCATGCTTGGCAGCTGCAAGCGCAAAGCGCTTTTTTAAAAATGGCAACCGCATTTTTCACAACAATGAAGCTTGTTCATCTTGCTGAGTTGTGTTCAGATACCTCGTCATTCATGTAATTTCCTCTAATTTTACTCGAAAAATGCCACAAAAACGAGTTCTGTAGTCACACTGAAGATTCAAATATCCTTGGCACACCTTGGTGTAATTGTTCCGTTGATCTGTTTGCCAATAAGAGTTATCAAATGTAAACAATAAACAATAAATTTTCCTACTAGAGAAAAGAGAAAAAAAGTGGATTAGCTTTAGAAACTAGTTTCTAGATTTTAGAAACTCCTGTTCTTAAGGGGGGACCCCGGTCAAATTTTAAAGTCTTCGGTGGATCTAGGGACTTATTGAGCGACTTTAGTTAGCCGATGAGATATGTTAAAAAGTGGGAAAAATCCCGGACCCAATGAGTTTTGCCCCATACTTCCACGGAAAACGTCGTTTTTCATGTTTCTACCTTTAAAACGTTCCTCGTTCCCCAATTTTGATCCGATTTGATTTTTTTTTTCTTCAAAATAGTCGTGAGACTCCAAAGAACAAAGTTAAGCTTCCGTTTTACGATCCATTATATAGATCATGAGAAAATC